TGCAGGCATGAGCCCCAAATCAAAAGTCACTGGGACAGAGGCTGCCAACGGCTGGTGTTGATTCCCAATGTAACCACTCCTTCCATGGGCAACTCGCAGTTAGGCATGCGGAGCTCCTTCCAGAGATGCAGAAACACACAGACTGAACGAAGGTAAAGGCTTCTCCAGACATACCCTGTGGGTAATGATCCGACGATGGATATTTACCGAGTCCCTAGTCCCTGCCCAGGGCTTTACCTGCTCGTCTCCATTAATTCTCACAAACACCTCTGAGGAGGGATTGATATTCCTATTTTACAAGTGGACAGTTACACGATTTGCACAGCATTACAGTTATTTGCAAATAAGTGGCAACGTCAGAATTCAAACTCAGGCCCCTGTGACTCCAAGTTCATGTTTGCACGTACCACACAGACCAGAGCTAAGCTGCATCAGATGACAATGCCAGCAGAACTGAGATGTGACCCCAGGTAATCTGACCCCCTCAGAGTAGGATTGGGCACGAGATGCCTGTGCCAGTTGGGGGTACTCCGTGGAATGAGCGCCTCTTTGGAGGTTCTGAGAACACAGGAGAGTCTGGCAAGGCCCCTGGATGGGGTTAAGGAGGGCAGGGGCATCACTGTGAGAGTAAGAGTGGCTTTGGGAAGCTGAGAGCCTTGTCCCCCGCTCCCCCCAGTCCTGTCTGTATACATCGAGTCTGCTCCTGGGTATATACCCAAGAGAACTGAAAACATATATTCACACAAAAACCTGTACACAGTGTTCATAGCAGCATTATTCCTAACAGCCACAAAGGAGAAATAACCCAAATGTCCATCAACTTATAAGTGGATAGACAAAATGTGCTATATCCATACAATGGGTTATTATTCGGTCATAAAAAAGAATGAAATACTGATACATGCTTCAACATAGATAAACCTTGAAAACATCATGTTAAGTGAAAGAAGCCAGTCACTAAAGCTCACATATTTCATGATTCCATTTGTGTGAAATTTCCAGAACAGGCAAGTCCATAGAGACAGAAAGTAGATTAGTGGTCGCCATGGACTGGAGGGAAGGGGGAATAGGGCATGACTGCTAACAGCTACAGGAGTTCTTTTGGGGCAATGGAATGTTCTGGAATTGCACAATATTATGAATATATTTTAAGCACTGAACTGTACACTTTAAAATAGTGACTTTTATCATATGTGGATTACACTGCAATATAAAAATTACCAAGAAGATTACCAATTATAAAATGGGACAGCAGTACGTACACTATGTACACTGGGAGCTGTCAACAGTGATACTGGCTTTCTTCCTAAAATACAAGAAGGGAGAATGCTCCTGATGAGGGAGAGGCTGGTGTTATGATTCTTGAACTGCAGCCCAGCTGGACAACAGCGCTACCGTAGAGCATGGCTAGAGCTGGCCACCCTCCCCTTCCCCAAGCGAAGAGCAATATCCATGGCAACCACATCAGCCCAGGCCAGGGGCTCCTGTTCCCAGCCACCGGGTGACAGCATCGCCACAGCAACCTGTCAGGATGGCAAAGGCAGATCTTGATAATGCTCTGGCGGAAGAATTGCTAAGGGACCCTTGTCTCCATAGAAACCATGTCAGGAGCAGAGGGAGGAAGGAGGGGGCAATCAGCAAATAAACACAGGGCCATGTCTCCTAGATCCTGAGACACATCAGGAAGGGCTAGACCAGCTTTGCTGACATCACCTTCAAAAAGGCAGTAAACCAGTGTTTCTTGAGCACCTACTGTGTGTCAAGCACCACAATGGACCCTTTACATGCTTGTCTGCATTTAAAATTTCACAAATAATACTCAAATACATTCTTATCGTTAAAAAACAAACCAACCCTAACTACAGGACTAATAGCATAAAAGCAAAAATTATTGTCCACCCTACTCCCACTCTTTCTAATTCTTCAGTTCAGTGGGTTTTTCTCCAGACTTTTGTTCTGCATTTGCATATATATATATATTTCAGCACCAGTTTGTTTTGTATGGCTTTTCAAAATAATTAGTGGGATTGCACAATATGTATACTTCTATAACTTTCTTCTCCTGCTTAACTATGTACCTTAGTGATCATTCCATGTCAATACATACAGTTACATAGTTGGCCCTTGAAGAACAAAGGGTGAGGGGTACCAACTTGCTCCCATTCAACTGAAAATCCACACACAATTTTTGACTCCCCCCAAAATCTTAACTACTAATAGCCTACTGTTGATCAGAAGCCTTACCAATAACAGAAACCATCGATGAACACATATATTGTATGTTACATGTATCATATACTGTATTCTTACAATAACAAAAGCTAGAGAAAATATTATTAAGAAAACCATAAGGGAGAGAAAATATACTTACAGTATTTATTGAAAAAAATCATGTATAAATGGACCTGAGCCATTCAAACCTGTGTTGTTCAAAGGTCAACTGTAACATCTACCTTATTTACTTTTATTGTGGCAAAGTATACATAATATAAGATTTACCATTTTAACGGTTGTATCTGTTTTATTGTGGTAAAATATACATAGCATACACATTTTTAGTCATTTTCAAGTGCACAATTCAGTAGCATTCAGTACATTCACATTATACTGAATTCACCACCATTCACCTCCAGAACCTTTTTATCTTTCCAAATTGAAACTCTGTACCCACTAAACACTAACCCCCACTCCCTTTCCCTCCAGCCCCTGGTAACCAGCATTCTACTTTCTGTCTCTATGAATCTGACCGCCCTAAATATCTCATATAAGTGGAATAATATTTGTCCTTTTGAGTCTGGCTTATTTTACTTACCATCATTTCTTTAAAGTTCATCCATGTCGTAGCCTGTATCAGAATTTCCTCCCTTCTTACGGCTGACAAATACTCCATTGTATGAATACACTCTATTTTTCCCGTCGACAGACATCTGGGTTGCTTATACCTTTCAGCTATTGTGAATAATGCTGCTATGAACACAGGTACAAAAATCTGTTTGTGTCCCTGCTTTCAATTCTTGGCTATATATCCAGAAGTGGAATTGCTGGCTTATTTGGTAAATCTATGTTTAACTTTTTCAGGAACTGCCACACTACCTTATTCTTTTTTTTTTTAATATAGTTCTATGGTTACCCCAATCTTATTTTTTTTAAAATATATTCTATTGATTTTTTTTTTAGAGAGAAACATCGATCAGCCGCCTCCTGCACACTCCCCACTGGGGATGTGCCTGCAACCAAGGTACATGCCCTTGACCGAAATCGAACCTGGGACCTTTCAGTCCACAGGCCAACGCTCTATCCACTGAGCCAAACCGGTTTTGGTCTTATTCTTTTTAACTTCTTCATATTGTTCTATGGTTACCCCAATCTTATTTTTTAAAAATATATTCTATTGATTTTTTTTTTACAGAGAAGAGGGGAGAGGGATAGAGAGTTAGAAACATCGATGAGAGAGAAACATCGATCAGTTGCCTTCTGCACACTCCCTACTGGGGATGTGCCCGCAACCAAGGTACATGCCCTTGACCGGAATTGAACCTGGGACCCTTGAGTTCACAGGCCGACGCTCTATCCACTGAGCCAAACTGCTTAGGGCTACCCCAATCTTATTAATAATCATAAACAATCTCGTAAACTGGTTATTGTTATTATCCTGATGTCACAGAAGAAGAACTGAGACTTAGAAGCCTCAGCCACATCTCTGCCAAGGAACGGCTGGGTGAACTCAGGCAGGCTGCTGTCCCTCTCTGGGCCTCAGTTTCCTCTCCACCACAACAGGAACAGTCTGACCTTCAAGGTACTTTCTCAAATTGTCTCCCCTTTTCACTACTGAGGAGGGAAGCAATGAGATGTGTGAAGATGATGCCCTGTGTTCTGGGCCAGGCCTTGGGAGGCAGGAGACCGCCTGAGAGAGGGGCCTCCCACCCAGCCCTGGAGAGGGGCAGGGCCATACAGCAGCCCGTAGCAGCAAATGCCCCATCTGCACACCAACAAGCTACTGGCACATCACACACCAACACGCTCTGCGAATAGGGCAGCTGAAGGGCGGCTCAGGGCTGTGGTGTCTCAGTACCCCTGGAATGCTGGCATGCCTGCCCTCAGGGAAGGTGAGGAGTGTGCCCGGAACAAGGTATGATCCTAGGGTACCTCATGAGCAGCCAGACAGCTGAGGCCCAGCCGCGCCTCTGGAGCCAGAAGCTGCCTGGAACACAGACCCCTGGAGTCTGGAGGATTCCAGCCCTCAGGGGTCACTGAGGCTGATGGCTTCCAATCTTCCTTCTGCAGAGCCCACTGGGCCCTGCGTGACCTTGAGGGCATCCATCCCTCTCTCAGGGGCTGTTTCCTCACCTATAAAATGGGTAAGATCATAACCTCATTGGGCCTTTATGCAAATTGTTAAGATAAAGTGTCCAGCATGGTGCCTAACAGGAGGAGGAAGAAAGGACATGCCAGGTGGAAAGGCTGGCATGATCGAAGACAGAGAAGCTGGTGTCTGGGGGTCATAGTCAGGAAGTGTCTGGTGTCCCGATCTCTATGACACACTGGCCCGAGGCCCAGCCCCGCACCGAGTGCAGTGCCTGGCAGTCCCTGAAACATGTACACATACGCTATTCCAGCCCGTCCTCACAATGCCTTGGGGCATTATTGTCCCACTTGATGTATGAGGAAACTAAGGCAGCGGGCCAGCCCCGTGCTGGGCATGGCTGCATGTTTTCTCAGTTGATCCCCCCACAGGTGTAGTTCTGTGATGAATGACTGTCTCCTTCATTAGTCTGTGGGCTCCTTGAAGATAGGAACCGAATGTCTTTCACTCACCACTGTGTCTTTAGTGGCCAGCACATAGTGCACACAGTAGGTGCTCAGAAAACGTGTGCTGGAGGAACAACTGAATAAACCACTCTGCCAGGGAGGCCTAACTGTGCAGAGACACTGGCTGGATGGGGCTGACACAAGCCTGCCACCCCCCACCTGGCCCTAACCAGGATGGACGGGGTCCTCACCTCTCTTGGCCGCTCCAGCTCTGTCTGCAGCACCTGCTTAGCCAGCTCGGTCTCGATGAGCCGCTGTCGAAGCTCCTCATTCTCCTCCTCCAGGCGCACCCGTTTCTTCTCCACCACCTCGAGCTCCTTATGCAGCCGCACGGAGATGTCCTTAGAGACCTGAGCAAGGGTGGGTGATAAGCAGAGCATGGGCATGCTCAGGGGTCATCCCATCTGGGCTACAGAGCAACCCCAGAGCAGGCAGCTTCTCTCATTACCCCCACTTAGCAGATGAGGAAACGGAGGCACAGAGAGGTTAAGGAACTCACCAAGGGTCACACAGCCAGGAAGCAGTAGAACTAAAACCCAAACCCAGGCCCCCCATGTTCCTTATGTCCATGTCACAGTTCAGCCCCCAGAACGCTATAAAGGCCCTTCCTGTTCTTAGGAATACCTTTTCATTTACCCAGGGCTCCTTAATGCTTCCAAAAGTCTCTCCTAGCCACCCTCTTGCCAATTCTCACAAGAGCCTGTGGCTGGCACCAGAAATTCATTTTAAAGAAAAAGGAAACTCAGAGCAAGATGGGCAGCCCCAGAGCCATTTACATCCCATCTCTGCCAGGGACCAACATGTCATCCTGGGGAATCATTTCCCCACTCTGTGCCTCAGTCTTCTCAAATACAAACTGGGTACAACAATAATAGACCAACCTCACAGGCCCAACAGGAGGACTAAATCAGCTATTGCACAAAGGCTTGGCCCGCTGCCTACACAGTGAGCGCTGGGTGAATAGTGGCTGCTGCTTCGAGAAACAAGCCCAGAAACGGGCAGGACTCGGTGGAGGTCACTATGTGACCCCCAAGACTTATTCCCAATCATCTGGGATATAGAACATGCCTCAAATGACAAGGCCTGGGCAGGTGTCCAAGTCATCCCTGCAGAAAGGAGTTACCAGAGCTGCAAACTCCAGTCCTGGCTCCAGGACTCTGCAGCAACAGCACCCATTTCCTCGAGGACACCCTCTGACCTGTGCCCTGATGGCTGGGGGTGAGAGGCCAGGAAAGGGGACCTCTGGGAATGAGGAGGGCCCTTTTGAGTCCATAAACTACAACCATCCCTGAGTGGGCTGGGCACTACCACTGGTTGAATACCTACTGCGTGCCAGCTTCATTCATCTTCACCCCAATTCGGTCCCCATTTTACTGACAAGGAATCTGAGGCTTAGCATGCAAGTGACTTGCTCAGGGCCACATAAAGCTATTGTGGGCTGAGCTCAGGGGAGCCCCAGGCCTTTGGTTGAGGGGCCAGCATGGCCAGGCCTCCACAAGGGGTACAATGTCTTTGCCAGCAAGAGTGCGGTGGATAGCCCAGCTCCCATGCCTGCCAGGCTCGGAAATGACCATGGCACCTCCTCCCTGCCGGAAGGGAAGAGGGCCCTCCCTGGCTCTGCCCTCGGCCTGGGCCCAGGCCCAGCTCGGCACAGACCCCTTGGCAGTGTGCAAAGCAGGCCAGGAAAAACAACGGCCAGAAAGGAAATTCAGCGCAGTCTTCCCCTCCCTCCGGTGCCCACTGCCTCTCTCTGTCCCTGAAGATCTCCAAAGACAGCCAGAAGCTGGCCCATGAGAATCCTCCCACAGCCTTTCTAGGCCACCAAGCTTTCTTCATCCACAGAGTGGAGGGAGCAATCCCTCACTATCAGAACCAAGACTTTGCTAGATTCTAATCTAGCCTGATCCCAGCACTCACTGAGTGTGTGGCTCAGGACAAGTTAGTTAACCATTCAAAGTCTCAGTTTGGTTATCAGTAAAAGGGGGTTGATTTAGGCTAGTCGTGAGAGTTATTGTGAGAAATAAATGATATCGTGCTTGGGCTGGTGGCTGGAACACAGTAGGTGCTCAAAAAATAGAATTTTCAATACATTGTCAAAATTACTGCTATACCCTGGTACACTGATTTTATCTGATTAGGCCCTATACTCCATAACCTCCCTTTTAAGTTTGATGGCAGGGTTTTTGCTGGAAATGTTCAGCCCCAGGCTCCTGGCTATGGTCCCCAGTTTGGGGCTGTTAGGTCATCCAGTGAACTCCTGTCCTAATCACGACTTCATTCATTCACTCATTCATTCATCCTGCTGAGGCCTGGGGGCAGGAGTGGTGGGACAAAGGTCAAGGCCCCAGACCACGCCTGAGCTCCTTCACATCTCTGTGTCCCAGCAGTGGCACAGGGTCTGGCACACACTAAATGCCTAATAAATCTTTATTGGATAAACAAACAAATCCAAGGCTACACCAAGCAAGCAAAGATGGAGGAAGATGAAGGAGTGAACAACTGAAATCTGGGAGCTGCACCTGCCCTAGCTTGGCTGGGGATACTCCCCCACCCACCCACCCCATCCACTGTTCAGGGAGGGCTCTGTCCCTGGCTGGGGACCGGGGCTCCTCTCCAACTACGCTCCTACCTAGACCAGCTCCTCTCCATCTGGTGGGTTATTCTGTCCCCACCATGGCCTCAACCTGAGGAGGTGACCGGCTCTTCATCAAGAAGTCATGATCCATGTGGATTCCTGGATCCTCTTGGGTTCCTGAGTGACTCTATAGATTTTGTCCCTTCCATGAGTCCCCAGTTGTATTCTGCTCTATTCCCCATGGGATCCCCTTCCAAATGTGCTCCCCCCTCCCCTGCCCCTTGAGGGATGCTATGTTGAAAAGCCCAATTCCAGGCAGCTTACAGAATTCCAATGTGGACACAGGAGCCCTTAAATCTCAGATCCCAGAGCCCCAATGACAGCCTATGGGAGCAAAGAGCACCCGGCCTGAAGGGCAGGAGCCTTTGGCCTATGCCTGTCCCCTCCCCTCTGGGGTCTCAGTGGTCCTGGGCCCCCTCGGCTCTCACAAGTGATTATAAAATTAGCTGTCACTTCCTGAGCACCCATCATGGGCCTGTCATCCCCTTCGGAAGGGCTTTACTAGTCCTACTCTGAGCGTCAGAAAGGAAAGGTCACTTGTCCAAGGTCACGCAGCTAGGAAGCTACAGACCACGATGTTAAATGAGATGAGTCAACTCTAGAGTCTTACTCTTACCCTGACCCTGCTGTTGGCCTGAAGCTGGATGACACATTATATTAACAGCAACAATGAGAATACCAACAGTAAGCCCGACAGTGGGCTCACACTGTCAGGTCCTCAAGGACCCCACCTGCCAGTCTCATTTGATCGTCTCCTGATCCTCCTGACTCCTCCCATGGTAGGGGGCTGAGATACTGTGGAGGCGAAGCAGCTGCAGCTTCCGGAAACCAGGGCAAATTCCCAAAGCACAAACAAATGCCCTCAGTCATGAGGTCACTGTTTACAGCACTGGGACCTGGCTCCTGCCAAATGCAACCAGCAGCCTCCAGGCCACAGCCGCCCTGCTCGATGACTGGCCCCTCTGCCCTCAGCTCATGGGCCTCAGGGTGTCTTGGTCATTCTGAATCCTCAGGGAGGAGGATGGGAACTCTCACTAAGGAAGTCCCCTGCAGGGCTCTGTGTGACTAAATTCTCCCAGGAACCCTGGGAGGATGGGAATGTCACCCCCATTTTGCACATGAAAAAACTGAGGCAGCTGCCCGGGTCCATCCAGGAAATTAAAACCAAAGCCAGAACTTCTTCTCCAGCAACATCTGTTGCTAAGAAAGGAAACATTATACTGGTGTGTCGTGGGCCTCCCACAGGAGTCCCTCCAGGTGGAAATTTAGACCTCGGATTTAGAAACCGGACACTCTGCATAGGCTTCCCAGGCTCTGAGGGTGTGCCCTGAGAATCTGCATGGTGAGCAAGCCTTCCAGGTGATTCTTGTCCAGCCAGGGCGGTTGAAATTCTGGCCTTTTCTTCCCCATGCTTGCCCCAGCCACTTGTCCTATGCATTCAAGCCTTAAAATTCTCCTGAACAACAACACCACAACCAACATTTGCTCAATTTGCTGAGTATCCAGAGCCAACCTTTGTGCATAGCATTCTCTTCACTTGAGTTATTTCATTTTATCCTCACAAAAACCTCCACAAATAGGGACCGGTTTTATCTCCATTTTCCATGTGGGGAAACTGAGGCTCAGAGATGTGAAGAAGCTTTCCCAAGGCCACACAGCAAACAACAGGCGGAGCAGGTCTCTGGCCCCTGACCCTGACCTCCTCATGCCAGGCAATGTTCCCACTAAGATTCTGTGGGTCCTGTCAGCTGTGAGGACCAGCAGAGAGTGAGAGAGCTTGGCAGGGGATGAAGAGCTGGGTGTGGGTGTGGGTGTGGGTGTGGGTGTGGGTGTGGGTGTGGGTGTGGGTGTGGGTGTGGGAGTGGGAGAGAAGAAGGGGCAACCAAGGCCTGGGGTTTCATTCATGACGTCCTCACCAATAACCTACCTGTTCAATAAAAGCACTGGAGCTGCAAAAGCCCTGAAGATTCGGTTGAGCTAAGCCCTACATTTAACAGAAGGGGAAACTGAAGCCCCAAGACCCAAGAGGTGGGGGCCAGTTAGGGCACTGGCCAAAGAGGTGGCAGAGCAAGTCACAGAGTCCCCCTGGATAACTGCTAGGCAGCCCCGGACCCTTCCCACCTGGGTCCATCAGCTTTCCCAGGAGACACAGGGGAGTCAGGATTTGAGGACCTTAAGAACACCCCACAATATCCCCAGCACATGGGGCGAAGTGAAGTGGCCAGAGGCATCCAGCCCAGGCCTGTTCCGATGAGCTCAGAGCTCCAGCTGCAGGGGCTGGGAGCGGAGGGAGGGAAGGGGGCAAGGCTAATGCTGATTGGCTAGTTCAAATCCCAACAGAAGGGGCTGCTCCCCTCCCCTCGGCCCAGACTGCAGAGGCCCCCCTCTCACCACTGTGGTGTGTGCTCACTCAGGCTGCTCTCAGCTCCTCCCACAGAGGCCCTGGCAACCCAGCTAGCCTGCTCCCAGCCGGAGATCCTCTACCCTTCCTCATCTCTCTAAGGCTGACTTTCCGTCTCGGCCTGAAATCAACTACCTGGGTCCAAACTCAGCTTCCTCTGAGTTTTCCGGGCTCCTCCTCACCCCACACGCTCCCAATCCAGTGCCTGGCACTTGAACATTTGGGTCACCATTTGTCCCAGAGCTGCCCTCTCAGGTAGAGGTGCACTTTTGGACTCGGAGACATAACTTTTCTGAGATCAATTTCCTTACCATCATCCCTCTGTGCACATAAGACAACAGCTGCAGAAGCCTGCATGGGGCTGGCAGTCACTGGTCACCTCCCCTGCCCTCCCAGGAACCCCTTTCTCCAGCATTCCTCCTTCACCTCCTGATTCATGCCCCCTCTCCCTCAGGCCTCGGCTCAGATGTCACCCCTGCAGGAAGACTCCCCAGGTACCCCTCTCCCTGTTCCTACATCCCCCACTGGTCACACTGGACTGAGTTCTGAGAGCAGGGAGCTGAGTCCTCCCTCCACCAAGTTCTCAGCCCCTGACCAGGGCTCACACAGGCAGGGTGGCCCTCTCCTCTGGAGGCCCCAGCTGCCAGCCTCCATCCCATCCTACTCCTGCTCACCGAGGCGGAGGGAGGAGGTTAGGCAGAGGTATAGGAGGCTGAAGAGCAGGAGCTCTGCCACATACACACTGAGGGTCACATGACCATGGACAGGTACTTCCTTTCTCTGAGCCTCACTTTCCTCATCAGGAAAATGAGGATAATAATAACAGCTACCATTTGGGGGTGTGTATAGTGACTTTTTACCCATGTTATTTCACTAACCCTCATAGATCCCTATGAGGCAGGGGCTGCCATTACACCCGTCTTTCAGATGAGGAAACTGAAATTCAGGTGACTTGCTCAACATCACAGAATTAGGGCATATGAGAGTCAAGATTTAAACCAGCCTGATCCAACTCCAGGCCTTTACTACTTTCCATTAATTAGTACAATAAAGAAACCATGAACCATGGAACTGTGCACCGACAACTTGGAGCCCACCACCAGGTGTGTGGTTGCTATTCAAACAGTACTAGTAGCTGCTGTTAGGAGGATTCATATTATATCACCATGGGATATCCCTGATCAATGGCCTATCAGTTCACCAGGAATCCCCACTTTACAGATGAGAAAGTTGAGGCCCAGAGAAGTGATGCAACTTGCCCAAGGACACACAAGGAGTGAGCTGCAGTCTGACCTGGGTCCTGCTCAGGCGCATAGTCCCACCCCCAACAAGGGCACCTATGAGGCTTGGGGAAGGCCCTGGGCTTACCTTGACGTCCTGCTCCAGGCCTCGGATGAGCTCGCCGTCCACCTGGCCAGTCTGAGCAGCGCGGAGGCTGCGGCGCTCGGCCTTGCGCAGCCGGTATTGCAGGATGCGGCAGGTCTTGCTGGCCTGGTCCAGCTGCTGGCGCAGTTCCTGTAGCTGGTACACGTCCTCCTCCATGTAGACGTCCCGCATCTCCAGCATCTCTGCTCGCAGCTCCTCGATCTCATCCTACAGGGAGAAGGGGCCATACGGTCACTGGGCCCTGTGCACGAGTACAGGCCACACCCAACTTGGTCCTAGGCACCTCGGGGGGCCTGGGTATGGTAGACTGAATAATGCCCCCCTCCAAAAATGTCCATGTCCTAATTTCCAAAATCTATTCATATGTTACCTTACATGGCAAAAGGGATCTTGCAAATGTGATAAAGTTACAGATTGGGAGATGTTCCTGGGTTATCTGGGTGGCCCAAGGTAATCACAAGGGTCCCTATAAGAGGGAGGCAAGGGGAGCAAAGTGGGAGAAAGCGAAGTGACCATGGAAGCAGTGGAGGAGTGATATGCTTTGAAGATGGAGGAATGGCCATTAACAAAGAATGCAGGCAGCCTCGGAAGCTGGAAAGAGGAAGGGTCTCTCTCCTTCAGAGCCTTCACAAGGAATGCAGCCCTGCCAAGGCCATCTCTGAAACAGGAATATCTGAGCTAAAGCAAAAAGGAACAGCCATGCAAAGAGACAGCCAGGGAGAGATTACTCTAGGCATCGGGAACAGTGTGTGCAAAGGCACAGAGGCTGTAAAGAGTTCAGTGTGCCAAGATACAGCAAGGAGGCCAGAGTAGCGACAGGGGAAGTTGAAGTTGGAGAAACAGACAGGGATCAGCCATGCAGGAACTTGAAGGGCTGAGTAAAGATTTGGGTTTGGGTTTTAAGTGAATGGGTGACCTCACTTCCTCAGGGCAGCTCCTGCCCACCTCTGTCAGCAGCTCCCAGATGTGCCTCACTTCCCCTTTGTCACCATGAGCACATCTGCAATTCTTTATTGAACAGTTTGTCTCCCAGAGACACTGTAACTGTCTGGAGCAGTGGTTCTCAACCTTCCTAATGCTGCGACCCTTTAACACTTGGAGTGCGGGAAACGAGTTAAGTCGGCTCGCGTGAATTGCGCGTACTCCGCGGGAGCCGTCTTTAACTCGGTTCATATAGATTTGCGGTGGAGTGCGGGAAACGTGTAAACTCGGCCGATTGTAACTGCGTATTACCAAATATTTGTTTGTAATCCACCCTTTTGGTGGATGGAACAAAACCAAAAGACAGAGCCATCTTATATTTTGGCGGGAAATTCACCCGCACTCCAATTAATACAGTTCCTCATGTTGTGGTGACTCCAAACATAAAATTATTTTCATTGCTACTTCATAACTGTAATTTTGCTACTGTTATGAATCATAATGTAAATATCTGATACGCAGGATGTATTTTCATTGTTACAAATTGAACATAATTAAAGCATAGTGATTAATCACAAAAACAATATGTAATTATATATGTGTTTTCCGATGGTCTTAGGCGACCCCTGTGAAAGGGTCGTTCAACTCCCAAAGGGGTCACGACCCACAGGTTGAGAACCGCTGGTCTGGAGGGTCACCTCACTCCCTGATGTATCCTCCACAGCCAGCACAGGGCCTAACATCTTGCAGATTCCCAACAAATATTACCTGAATGAATGAATACATGTGTAGGTAGGTGAACAGCCACAAAAAGACATACCAATGCGAAACAAAGTGTAAGGGGATGAGTGGGAAGACCTAGCAGAATAAATGGATGATTATTATGTCTAATAACAAATGTGAAAACTGAGTCACAAATGGAATAATATCTACTCTTAGTGATCGAATGGATTACATAAGACTGTACACTAAAAAGAGAAACTGCGTCATGGAGGATGAATGATCTGCCAAAGGCATCCCTGAGGAGCCAGAGAAAGGACGGTGCTGATGGGAGGGGGGTGGCCAAGAAGGAAAGCACAGCTCTGCAGGCCCTGGAAGGGGGCCAGTCTAGAGAACTAGGTTCACCAGCCCTCTGAGCCTCCCTTTCCCCAAAGAGAATGGGTGGCTCCCTCCGAGGGAATGGCCGAGGTTGTCCAGTGCCCCCTGAGACTGGGAGGGTGGATTTAATTCAGAGGCAGTTCTTAGCAAGAAAGCTCACTGAGGTTTTCACATCCGTCTGTTTGACTCATGGGACTCTTTCTCAAATGGTTCTCAACTCTGGAGAAGGCAGAGGGGACAGGTATGTGCTTCTCCCAACCCTAACAGGCGTGGTCCTGTCCCCACTACCACGTGAGGGTCAATCCTCACTTGCCACCACAGCCCCTCTCCTCTGGGTGGGTTGAGCAGCACCAGCTGCAGAGGAACAGTCACCTCACCAGGGTCCCCTCCCCCACCCCACGCACACACAGACTCACCACCCCACCACCCAGCCAAGTGGACAAAACTAAAAGTGGAAAGGAGGAAGTGGGACAGTCAATGATCACACCAGTTAAAGAAATGAGGAAGTGAGGGGTCCACATGCCATTTCAGCTGACAGATTAAAGAAGCATAAAAGCAACAGCACTCAGTCGGCAAAATCCAAGCTAACCCAGCTTCCAGCTGGGCCTGTGTTCAAATCCTCATCCTGCTATTTACTAGCATCTCACTTCTCTCTGTAGTCACACTGACAGGATCTGGTGATGGGGAGGTTGTGGGGGTCTGAACAGACCCAAAGCTGGGAATGTGCCAAGGGGAAGTACAGAGGACAGGCAAGCTCATGATGCTGGGCTACATTAACGAATATATGACATATAGATCATGGGAGGCGGCATCCCTCAACAGAGGACCTTATCCAGAGCACTGCAGTCATTCTGGGGGACCATTTATTCTTTTAAGTTTTAAATAACTGATTTTTCTATTTATAAAAGTAAACAGTGATCAGAGACAGTTTTGAAAATACACAAAATACAAATCACTCATAGTTTCTCCCTGGACCAACAACAGCATTAGCATCACTGGGGCACTTTTCAGAAATTCTCATGTCCCAACAGAGACTTACTGAATCTGAAACTCCAGGGATGGGGCCCATAAGGGACTCTAATGCAGGGAGTTTTCTTTCAGTCTTTTTCCCTAAAAGGGCAAGAGTCATGTGTCTCAGCACCACAAGTCCCTAGCCCAGGGCCTGACACAGAGCAGGGTCTCAGTAAGAATCTATTGAGTAAGTGAATGAATGAATGAATGATCTTTCTCATGTGAGCAGCTGTCTCTTCGGGGCCTGCCCTTCACCACAGTCAATTTCTGAAAATGCAGGATGTTGCATTCAAGCCAGGTCTCTCTCTCCATGGTGGCCAAGGGGGGCCCAAGCCCCTGGGGGCTTTTCCCAGCTGCAGGCAGAATGCCGTCAGCCCGTCCTGGCACGGCCCATGTGAGAGGGCAAGTCCACAAAGACTGGCTTGTGGCTGCAGAGGCTGGGTCTGCTGGGGCGTGGGCAGCAGAAGCTGGTGAATGCAGGATTGAGGCAGAGGCTGAGCTTTTGGGGCCTGAGGTAGGGGCTGGGACAAGGGGCTGCTGGGACAAGGGGAGGAGACCCAGGAGAGCAGGATCCTGCTTTATTCCAGAGGTTCTAAGACCTCACTGAGCCTCCGAATCTCCTGGGGCTCTTGGCTCCTGCAGTCTCGATCCCTGTCCCTGGAAAGCTCTCCAGTGACTGGCTGATCCAGTTAAGGGATTGGGTGGGTGGGGTGGGGTAGGGGGGGAGGGGACCCAAGCTTTCTAACTTCTTCAAAGACAGGTCAGTGGCCTTGCTGAGCCTCTCCCGGCTCCTAGATCCCCCAATTCTGTGGAAAAGGGGAAGGAGGGGCCAAACTCTGTGGAACTCAACAGGCCTAGGGGCCACCCAACAAGGTTGTCTGAGTCCTCCAACATGGATGGGGAAACCCCAAACATCTTCCTCCACCACAGACAGGAAAAGGCCATGCTGTCCAGCAGTGCTGACCTCTGAGCCTGGAGGCCCCCGGTCCTCCCCCATCAGAAACGCCAGCCTACAGAAGCTGGGGAACGTTGCCCAGACCAAGCACAGCCTGCCAGCCCTCCACACCCATCCCATCTGGCCACTCCTTTCAGTTGACCTTTCTTTTAACCAGGACTGAGAATAGGGAGTGGAGGAGGGAGGATGAGGGATAGGAATGAGGCGCCCACACTGATGCCAGGGGAGTCAGCCCTTCCCTTTATAGAAAATGCTTATTTTGCTCTGATTACAGATGTGATACCTATTTATCGGGCAAAGTTTGAAAAAAAGCAGATGGCTTTCTCTACCTTCCACTAGTTCCCACTGGCTTCTGCAGTAGGTCCACGCCCTTTCCCCTGGAACCCACGCTGCCCCTGGTTCCCCCCCACTCCTGGTTTGCCCCTGACCTTGC